GTGTGAGTGTGAGTGTGAGTGTGTGTGTGAGTGTGAGTGTGAGTGTGTGTGTGAGTGTGAGTGTGAGTGTGTGTGTGAGTGTGAGTGTGAGTGTGTGTGTGAGTGTGAGTGTGAGTGTGTGTGTGAGTGTGAGTGTGAGTGTGTGTGTGAGTGTGAGTGTGAGTGTGTGTGTGTTTGTGTGTGTGTGTGTTTGTGTGTGATTTGTCATTAGTTTGCTCAGGGATTTGGCAACTGGCCCCTGAAATGTCTGTCATCCCCTCATCAAATAAGATTTAATATGCTTGGCATATTATGGGAAATATAGTATCGCTGTGGAAACTCTGAACTCTGTCGGAGGAAAGTACCTGTTTTCCCTGCTGCAGTCCTTCAGGTATTACCACAGCTTTCCGAGAAAACACTTTTGCCAAAAGACCAAACAGACGGTAAGAAACAGCGGCGTCACACGTAGAGTCAGACTCCTGACGCACCTGCTGGAATATTCATGCATTTCAAAGACTTGACCAGAAGCACAGAGCATTGCTTTAAATTATTATTTCAATGTGTATTGAGCTTTATTTATTTTTTGATTGATGGCTATCAACCTTTTGTCTATACTATTGATACAGTGAGTTTTTTTACATTGAGATTTTAACATGCATAGATTATTTTACAGTAGGTACTTCAAAAAGGTTAGTGTTTATGAAACACGTGTGACTGAAATGAGATTATATTCCAGTTTTAAATGTGCATCTGATTACAGATAGCCTACATGGGATTACACAATATTTGTGTTTTAAAGAGAACCAGTTCTAAGGATGTATAATTTGCTTTTTGAGTTAAAATAATTTCTTTATATGAAATTTGAATGGTATGACAATTAGAGATTAGACTGTACAAAAAATAAAATCTACATGCAGTCTAACGCTAATACACATTACATACATGCAATGCTTAACCTTAACAATTTGAGAACACAGTATAGCAGTAATAATAAGTTGCACAGTTAGATGTGAAATAAGCTATGTGATCATTAGATTTAATCACCATTGGTAGCGCAATTTATTGTAATGCTTTTTTCCCCCCTCAGTTGGTCAGAACAAAAGTGGCAGATTTGTTACGTACTTGTTCAGATGACAATATCCGGTGACAATTCTTATTTGTGTCATACTTCCAAGACATAGGCTAGAATCTGTGATTCCTAAGTACAGTATCCACACATTCACCTCAAAACATTAGATTCATGCCGGTGCACAACCCACACAAGGAAGATAATTCAGCAAATAACTGCAATTGCAGGTTTCAAACAGAGATGGCGACAAAGAGGCAAAACCTACGGACTGCAGTTTTAATAAAGCAATAAGCCCCAAGAACCCGTGGTTCACAGTGAATTTATCACAGCTAAGGGGCGTTGTTAGGCATGACGTGAAGCGGCGTTAACCCTGAGTTAGCTGTTATAAATTCACTGTAAACCACGGCTTCACGGGGCTTATTGCTTTTATAAAACGGTTATTCCATATACGTAGTAAGGTTTCACAAAATAAAACAGAGCAAATAAAGTGTAATGATATTAATAAAAAACAGTAATCTTCCACCAAACAATGTAGCTCCTCAGAAACAGTTGTGGTTGCTACAAAGTGGTTGCCGAGCAACACACAAAGGTGTATGTTACTTTGTAGAGTAATTTGCAACAGCTTTGAACGTGTCTCAACCAATCAGAATCAAGCACCGGAACTCTCCGTTTTATAATAATAATAAAAACACTAGGTGGCATAGCCATAGTCCTTCTTTCATGTCAGTGTCGTCTCTCTCTCTCTCTCTCTCCGATCAGACATTACCACAGTATGGATGAGTTCAGTCACTACGATCTGTTAGAGGTCAGCAGCGGCCGGAAGGTGGCGGAGGGACACAAGGCCAGCTTCTGTCTGGAGGACACGACCTGCGACTTCGGCCATCTCAAACGATACGCCTGTACTTCACACACCCAGGTACACGTCTGAGACACATTCTCTTATTTATTATCAATAATAATTATTAGCATGCCATTGTTTTTTGATTACACTAATGTTTTGATTTTGATTTTGTTTTAATATTCCAGGGTCTCAGTCCAGGCTGCTATGACACATACAATGCAGATATTGATTGCCAATGGATTGACATCACTGATGTTCAGCCAGGAAACTATATACTCAAGGTAGACGACCAAAACATTTACACTCCGTCTTCTATTTCACACCGAACGCATTTTTCTTAACCTTCAAAGAGAGACTTCTCAGAGAATATCTCGTATCTAACACATCAACAGAATACAACACGTCTCGCTAAAGGTTTGGCACGAGGAGATGTTTGATGTCACGCATGTCGTCCAACTCTTCTGTTTGTTTTCTGTGCTCATAAATAAGACAGATACAGACATGCCTCTTCAGGCAGATCCCAGCCGCTCAGACAGAAAATTAGATACTAAATGTAGGGGCTATTTACTTTTTCCACAGATGAAAGGTGTGTTTCTGCATATATTTTTGTTGAGGAAAGATTTCAAAGTCAACTTTTCATTGTTTTATGTTAAATGTTTCCCACTTTCACCCATCAATACTGTCCACCAGAGCCTAAAATTAAAATTTTTCTACTTCTGCCAATGGCCGGTGATTTATGTCTGTATGTCTGTGTTTGTTTGTTTATTTATTTATTTATTTATTTATTTATTTATTTATTTATTTATTTATTTATTTATTTATTATTTTTTATTATTTATTTATTTATTATTTTAATTTATATTTATTTATTTATTATTTTAATTTATATTTATTTATTTATTTATTATTTTAATTTATATTTATTTATTTATTTATTATTTTAATTTATATTTATTTATTTATTTATTATTTTAATTTAGATTTATTTATTTAAAAAGAAACCAATAAAGAAATATTACTAAATTACTATTGTATAATAATAATAATAATAATACTTATTATTATTATTATTATTGTTATTATTATTATTATTATTATTGTTATATAACAATTAGTAACAACAGTACAATTAAAACACTAATATTTATGGTTATTTTTTCTTTGCTTTTAAATGTTAAACCATAGCGCACTTATTTTGGTGGAAAGCCACCGGGAAACTTTTCTTTTGAAATGCTTCTCTTTTGTTGACAACATATTTCTAAACCATTTTCATTACAACATGTAAAGATGTTTGGCACATGTTGTATTCCAAATGAAGTTTATATAATTACAACATAGTCTTTGCGGTTTGATAATCGACAATTAACCATGTTCTCAGGCCTTGTTAAAATTAATAATATATA